TATTATTATTATTATTATTATTATTATTATTATTATTATTATTATTATTATCATCCAGATGGTCAGTGGCAAACTTCAAATGGGCCTGGACATATGCTGTCGTGAGCAGTTGGACCTCGTGTGCCCTGCAGGATCTTAAACCATGACAGCATAGTCGTGTGTTACTAATGGTCCTGTTTGAGACTGTGGTCCCAGCTCTCTTCAGGTCATTGACCAGATCCTCCTGTGTAGTTCTGGGTTGATTCCTGACCTTTCTCAAAATCATCCTTACCCCATGGAGCAAGATCTTTCATGGAGCCCCAGACTGAGGAAGATTGAGTCATTGTGTGTTTCTTCCATTTTTTAATAATTGCACCAGCTGTTGTTGCCTTCTCACCAAGCTGCTTGTCTATTGTCCTGTAGTCCATCCCAGCCTTGTGCAGGTCTGTAAGTTTGTCCCTGGTGTCCTTAGACAGCTCTTTGGTCTTGGCCATGGTGGAGAGGTTGCTTAGAAGTTGTTTTCATCTTGTCTCTCCTTTCTGTCTTCTCAACCAGCCGTTCAAAGCAGATGGCTGCTTGTTCTGAGCCTGGTTCTGTTGGAGGTTTCTTCTTTTTAAAATGGAGTTTTTCCTTTCCACTGTTGCCGTTGTGCTTGCTCAGGATGGGAGACTGACGAAGTGAAGATTCAACATGTCTGCTGGTTTCCTTAGATAGAGAACTGTAGTAATTGGCTTTTTTATGTATATGAATGTTCCTGTAAAGTGTCCTGAGACAACTTTGTTGTGAATTGGCACTATATAAATAAATTGAACTGAATTGAATTAGAGGTTGATTATATACCTGAGAACATTGCATATCCAGCCCGATGTGTTCATAATATTTAGCAATTAATTGCTTCTTCATTTTTTCCGCTGCTGATTTAAACGTCTCAGTTATCTTACAGAGGAGCTGCATTTGAAGCAAAAACATTCTTGGAAAGTGTTTTACATGTTTTGTGGATCTTCATATACAGAGGGACATGCTTTCCCAGGATCTTTCCTCTTTTTTGTTTTTGATCAAAGTATTTTTTTTTTTTTTTTTTTTAACATACAACAAAAAAGAAAAAACAAAGAACAACCCCCACCCCTCCCACACCGGATCAGTCACACACACAAATGAATTATACAGGCATTGACATGTTTTCCACATACAACACAAAAAGCTGCCAAGTGTCCCAAAATCTTTTAACAGAACTTTTCAGGGTAAACTGTATCCTATTTTTTCTGGATGTATATGATACATGACTTCTCTTATCCAGTGTTCATATGCTGGGGGTTATGGGTCCTTCCACTTGCACAAAACAAGTCTCCTGGTCAGAAGAGACCCAAAGCAATCTCGTCCTTCTCATAGTTTCTGAAGGACGTATCCACAGGGACCACCCCAAACAGTGAGATGAATGGTAATGGGTGTACAGTTTTTCCACATAGCCTAGAGAAGGTGACAAAAATAGATTACCAAAAAGTCTGCAGTTTGGGACAGGTTCAGGATCTTTCTCCAGTTGCATTCCAACTTCAGATGGGAATCCTGAAGGCTAGCTAATGAATTTTGAGATAAATTAAAATGACCTTTCATCGATTTCTATACCTTTATCAATGGTTGGTTCACAGAAATAATGGGTCTGAGAGACAAACTCGGACCTCCCTCTCCCCAGCAACACTCCACCTCCACCTAGACGATCCCAAGATGTGCCCCATGTCAAGTCCATATCTTCTGATGACATGTGAAGGTTTGGAATGTGGACAAACCAGTAAATCCAGAACTTTGGCTTTGAGCTCAGCTTCTTAATCACCATTATAAACTGGATCAACACCCCCATTACTAGGAATAAAAGTCTACTAATTAATTAATCCATTTCCTGAACCCTCCATTACTCACAAACTGCTTGAGACAAAGACTCAACCCTAACACAGGAAACATTCCATGTTTTTCTGGTTGAGAACCATGGCCTCAGACTGTGCATGCTGAAGGTCATCGCTTGAAGATGCCAACAGAACCATCTTATCCACATAAATATCCTGATGCATGCTCAATAATCCAGGTAGAAAAATCTAAAAAAGTTATATCTGGTCCTCTGGACATTCAAAAAAACAAAACAAAGCAAATCAACAAAAAAATGTAGAAACGTTTCATCTCTCATCCGAGAGACTTCCTCAGTCTGAGGTGCTGTATTCAGCTCAGTCTCTTAAGTAGCACCGTCTCAGAGTGGATCAACCAGTTTTGCTGCTGACAACCAAAACCAGCTTATCACATGGTCAAGAAGGACCATCAGCCTAACAATGGATCATTAGCACACTGATGGCTGTTTACTGTTCACAGAGGGCTGAGTGATACTAGCAATCACAGCATTGTAAGAGGGGGACAGTTGAACACGGAGGCCTCCACCCCTGTTTAACAATGGACGATTTATTTTCACAAAGATGGCCTCCTTTACTCCTCTCTCAAACCATCGTTCCTCTCTGTCCAGGATGTGAACATCTTCATCCCTGAAAGAGTGACCGCTGGCCTGGAGATGAGTGTAGACCGCAGAGTCCTGGCCTGATGATGTTGATCTTCTGTGCTGGGCCATCCTTTTGGCCAGTGGCTGTTTAGTTTCCCCGATGTAAGACTGATCACAGCCCTCCTGACACTGAACAGCATACACAACATTGTTCTGTTTGTGCCGGGGGACTGGATCTTTGGGATGAACCAGTCTTTGCAGTAATGTATTTTGGGGTTTAAAAGCCACTGGGACGTTATGTTTAGAAAATAAACGT